TTAATTATATGTGACATTTAACGCAAGAAAAGTTAAACTTGCAACATTTAGAAAGCAGGGTTTCTGCAGGTTTTATGTTGTTACATTTAAGACCAAGTAAAGAAAGTGTAAGGAATAAATTTAAGAGAACACAACACATCATGTTCTGTAAATGTAAATGTCTAGGCAGCACAATGAGTTGTATTAGCTGTTGTATTATGCATTTTATAATACAAACTCACAATGGATCTCCATTACTTTCTGATTTGTTTTACAAGAAAATAAGCTTAAGGCTGGAATAACTCTGATCTAAGCCACTAGAGTATGGAAATAACAAAAAGTGATGTTCTTTCTAGTATTATTGTCTTCTATTTCAATGCAAATGTTTAAAGATGATTAAATGAAGCCATACACTTAATTTTGTCCAGTTCCTCAGAAAACAAGACTTCATATCTTCATTTAGCCAATAAATGCATCTTGATTTAAAGATGTTTAAATATTTGTATTGGAAAACAAGACAAAAACAACTGAGGAAGATTTCATTTCATTTTTAGCAATGCATGCAACGCTGTGACTTAATAAATTTAAGACTTTCTGCTCTGATTTAAGACCCTTCAAAGCCTTAATTTATGGAAGGCAAATTAGGACATTTTAAGAGCTTTTTTTAAAGACTTTTTAAAGAAAAAAAAACAGGCTAATTTGGACAAAAAGTTGATGTTCTTTCCTACCCCATAATACTTTGTTGGCCTTGAGGTCTTCGGTGATTCTAGCATCACTATAAACATCACTAAAGTACAGTTCCCCTCCATCCTAATGACAAAGCAGATCAACATCCTTTTTGTTTGTTAATGCGCTAAAGGCACAAAAGATTGCCATTATTCAAAAGATATCCATATTTCAAATATTCAAAGTAAGATGTTAGCATGTTTTAGGCTATTATTATAGCGTCTGAGAGTCAGGGTTGGAAAAAATCAGATCTAAAAAATAAAGAATTCAACTGAATTTGGCATGAAATCGAAGTACCTTCAGTACACGGTAAGCCTCCCTCAGGACACTGGCTTTATCTGGTGACAGGTTCACCACACAGTTTGATCTTTTGAAATAAAATAACAAAGACTGCCAATAAATTGCTTGTTTATGCTAAAAAGTAACTAACAGTTTTGTGTCAGCAAAGAATTTAGAAGTAATTTGTCTTCACAAATAGGCAGCTATTATGAAACTGTGAAAGCTTACATGATGATATCATATGACTTCTCCTCCAGACCTGCTTCTGCCAAGGCCTCAATGTAGCCTTGAACAAAATTCACATTTGGCTTTTTATAACCAAATCTTTGTGTGTGGTAGTCAATGTATTTCCTAGCCACCTCAAGCTGTAAAACAAAGACATCTGAGCAGTTCACATACACTGTTTTTGCCATTATGTCAAATGCATTTAGGATAGTACATAAAAAAATATTGAATAAATAATTTGTAATTAAAATTAATAAATTAATTAAAATACGAAATAATTTTTTTAGTGCTGTAAATCAATTACAATATTTAATGACAAATTATTAATCTCATATTTTGTTTAAAAAACAAACAAACACAACTGTATATTTTAAAAGGGTATGCTTTTTAAATGATCAGTTTTACTTTTTTATAGAAAAACAGAAGTACACGTTTACTAACGGTGTAATCTGCCATATAAATTAACCTGTAGCACAATGCATTGCAGCATTACAGTGTTATCTAAAACCTGAAATGAACTTACCTGATCTTCAGTCATGTCGATGCCTGTGACATGTCCCTTCTCTCCTACAAGCTGGCTGAGCATGTAGCAGTCCCGTCCGCTCCCACAGCCAAGATCAAGCACCCTGCAGCACTCCAGACACTCGGGGACCACCAGACCACAGCCATAGTACCTGCCACCAAGGGGTCAGTACTGAATCATCAATATGTAAAACTGTCAGCTGAAGTATCATCAGAATAAAGCAATATAACTTGTATTCATATCAATCTTATTGTCATATAATCTTATATCAATTACTAGCTACATTTTTAGATATGATATATCATATATTTTAGATGCAGTATATCATCAGGGGAAGTGACCCTATTAAGCCCACTGAAATCAGAATATTCATTTATGATTATTCCTTATTAATGAGAGCAGCTTTCCAATAAATTAGGTTTAGGTACAGCTTTGATTTATAGCAATATATGTATATACAGTATATATATGTATTTATGTATTTATATTGTATAGATTTATGTAAAGACTTTTCCTTTTGAAAGAAATGATCACTGTTATTAACAAAGGATGCATTCAATTTATCAAAAGTGACATTTATAATGTTACAAAAAGATTTCCATATCAAATAAATGCTGTTCTTCTGAACTTTCTAATAATCAAATAATCCAGAAAAAAATGCACCATGGTTTCCATAAAAATATTAAGCAGCACAACTGTAGATTTCAGCAGTAAAATTGTAAGATTTCAGCATAATAAAATGACTTCTGAAGGATCATGGGACACTGAAGACTGGAGTAATGGCTGCTGAAAATTCAGCCTTGCACCACAGGGATAAATTTTACAAACAGAAGAAGAGATTCAGCAACATACTGATTGATTAAGAAACTGAATTTTGTTGATGAAAATTTTTTGTTGTTGTTTAACATTTTTTTTGATATTGTTTGTATCAAAATTTAACTTTCCTTCTCCTTTGACATGTTCAAAATTAAATAGAAATAATTTAATAACTACCAACATTTCATAATATTACTGTTTTTATTGTATTTTTTTTTTGTAAAAATCAGCTTTGGTGAGCATAAGACCCTTCTCTATCTTACAGTTTCCAAACTGTTTTTCACCCAAATACATAAATATACCAAGAACATAAATTATAATTTCAGTAAATCACTTGTCTTTCTTTCAGACTGAAACTAAAAGTGAGCTTATATGGTTTATGAGCTTATAAAGGCCATTACAGTATGTTCCACTTCATTATGTCACTATGTCTTACTCAAAGACATCTTATGTGTGTATATATTATCTAAATCATCACAACATTCATCAAAGTAAGCCTCACTTTGCAACAACATCTGGATGGATCTCAGCTATGACTTTTCTCACGTATGCAGGAACAGGCTTGGCAGACGGAACACAGGCATTGCTTTTCAGATCAGATGTCTTCTTCAGTGTCTTTCCATAGTATTCCTGTATTAAAGATTCATTATTTTACACCATTGTGAGCATTAAACGTGTTTAACACAATCCAGCAATTAAAATATTAATGTTATTATGGTGACTATATTGGCTGCGATGTGGAATGTAGAAAATAACAATAGGCATTGATAAAATTACTTTCATTTTCTTATACAAGATTTCTTTAAGTTGTACAGCCCTTAAAAGTCAACTCGGTTTCGTTTTTTAAGTTTGGAAAAAACATACCTTCACGTCATTGTAGACACTTGCAACAGCAGTGTTACTGTGAACAACAATAAGAAATTGTACTGAGAATACTTGACTTTGTTATGCAACAGAATAGCCTATAGGCCTATGTTGGGCGACTCCAGTCGCTACGTAACGTAATAATCTAACGTTATTTGTTAATACAAAATGAAAACCCAGTTACTTTGTCAGCTTGAATCATATTGCAAATCAAATGTAAAATATTAGAATACTGAGCAGCAATAAATAAACAATAAAAAGAAGTTTTACCTGGCTGCTGTAGGTCCGTCTGCCATGATTAAACGCTGAACGAGGTGTTTTTTAGCCTTTCTCTCGACTTCCGTAACACATTCAGCCAATCAGAGAGCAACATTATGCTGCAGCCCACGGAACTAGGATTGTTGACTGAACTGTCATGGTGAACAATGAGATATAATATAATAAAGAATATTATAGGATTGTTTACACGAAGATAAGAGAGTTTCAAATGAATATGTTTACAAAATACTACAGTTTGATTACTTAGTAGTTTAAAGTCGATCTGGATCAAATTATTGTCTAGTTAATATAGCCGTGACTCTTGAGATGGTCACGATTTATTCAACATGGTACTAATATCTGCTTTTGGGTTGAAGACAAGATGAAGGCACGAAGCGACACTGACTGGACGAGACATCTCGTTCGTAAACAAACTAAATGTACGGTGACATCTCCTTCTTGAACCGAGGCCTTCGACCGACTGATTTATTCAACATGGTACTAATATCTGCTTTTGGGTTGAAGACAAGATGAAGGCACGAAGCGACGCTGACTGGACGAGACATCTCGTTCGTAAACAAACTAAATGTACGGTGACATCTCCTTCTTGAACCGAGGCCTTCGACCGACTGAACGAAGTGCCGGTGATTATAAGTGTACAAACAGCGATTTAAAAATAAGTAAATAAAAAGACAAGCTATTTAACTCTTAACTTTTTTTTGACTCACTTACGTAGCTAATAGGCGAACAGTAGTGAAATATTTTTACTTTATTCAAGTACATTTAAAAAGTATCGATTATCAGTGTTTTTCTTTGGAAAACTTCACTGCATTCCAAAGCATATGTCATAATTCTTACTGCACATTTCATAAATAAAAGCGGTTTGTTTTACCTTTAATACTTAAGAACATTAAAAAAATGTAGTACTTTCTTGTACGCAAGTAAATCTTTTAATTACTTTTACTTGCGTAAAAATAAGAAACTAATAGATTGCTAATTTAATTAAGTATTAAATTATATTTAATATGAAACGTAATGCAGTAAAAAGTACAATATTATGCTTTGGAATGTTGTGAAGTAACGTTTTCTAAAGAACAACACTCTGATAAAGTACAGACACTTGAAAAGTACTTTTAAAGCGGAGTAAAAATACTTCACTACTGTCTGACTGAATGCACAGATCACTAAAAAGATCCGTTCACTGCACTATTCAAAGGTCCACTGAACGGATCTTGTTAGTGAACCGATTCAAATATTCGAGTCACTGGAATGAATCAGAATCCCTACCGCTTTTAAAAAAACACGTAACAAAACAAAACACTTACACATGTTGTTTTGATTTGCGTTTAATGGACAGTGTCACGATTAGTTTTTTGCATAACAGATAAAAATATGAACTGCGCCAGAACTCATATGATTACATAGATTGTTAGACAAACAGCTGCAGGCTGTACAATATGCCATATTTCTTGCGTGAGATGCATCAGAGCATTTAAGACTTTGAAAATCAGCAGATTGTTAATATATCAGAGAAAGAGATTGATTAGGTAGGCCTATCTGACTCTAAGCTAGCTCTAATAATAATAGATTGTCATCACAGAGACACCAGTAAGAGAAGAAAATCTCTTTAACATTCATTAGGACAGTTAAATAAATTAATTTGTTAACATGGAGAGTTTTAAAAAGAGTGCTTCAATGGTCATGGAGGAACAAACTGAAGCTACTTTGGTGCAGAAATACAAAAATTAAACATTTTATAATTACATATATGGCTCGTTAGTTTGCATGTGAATATAAAATCAAGGCACAGCTTTTGAGCTTTCATGAAGAAGAGCTTTTGTAAAAAACTATATTCTATGAGGCTAATGTTCAAGATGATACTTGACAACTGGCACGTGAAACTGTATTTAGAGTGGCTGTAACAGTGCAAAAATGACATAAAGGGCACTTGAAAAAATCATTTACCACCATACAGCTTAATCAAATCTGTACCCATATGTGTCATCTAACATCAAGTTCAACAAGATATGCTTTACACATATATTTATGTATATTATCATTTTAAAAACATCAAAATGTTTGTCTTTGGAGTTCACTTGAATATGTTCCAGTGAGAAAAAAAAGAAAGTTTTTTTTACTTGGTAGCTTATATCTAATATTCTAGGCTAAGCACCTAGAAGAAATGACTTGTGTACTAAAGACACTTCCCTTTGGCAAGGCTTTTATCCCTACAGGGTCATCGAAATCTACATTATGTAGTGTTTGCTTGCAATCAAAAACTGATGATTAGTAGTAATAAAGCAGCACTTATAAGCTCCAAGCCTAATTCGAACATCTGCCCAATGTCATAATCTGTATAGCCTACTTTGGCTATAAAAACTCAGATTTATGAATCTAACTTGTTCAGAATACCAAATACACATGACTAATTCATCAGAGCTTACAGCAGCCAAAAAGACGACAATATAAACGGATAAAATGTGAATTAAGACTATGTAAATGAATATGAATATGATTCATTCAGAAGAACGAAAATTTAATACACACCAATAAGATTTGTCCCATCACATTAGGGAAGGTCAACATGGATATTAAAAGCACATGGTCTTTTTTGGTGTTCTGTCAGTTTTTAGATTGCTCTTTGACTGTCCTGAGACACTGAGAGTTCAGCACACTAGTGTTACATATTTAGAACCTCAGTCCTAAGACTGCACAGTTTAAGTCTGGTCACATTAGGAAAATTTCAGCGAGATTTCGAAGGTAAAAATGGTCCACTCTCAATAGTGTAGCAATGCACAAAGCAATGCTCACAAAGAAGTCCATTTCAAACCAAGCAGCTTTCTGTTGGTGAATGCAACAAATTCACATTACCAACTTAAACATGAATCTGCGAAACTCCCGTTCACACGGATTGCAATTTAATTTAATTCACCCACAAAATTTTGCAGAGTAACTGTGGCTGCACCTGGAGGATGTCTTATGATGCGTACAAGTCATGTCAGAAGATCGTATTTACAAGTTGAAGGCACACGACTGCCACCACAAAGTCGTAATTACGAAGTAGGAAACTCTGGATATTCCATACGGAGTTTCTGCGTTCCGGACGTATTGACGGCAAATTTGTTGAAATTGGTTTTCTTTTTCATTTACAATAAAACTAGCTATGCTGCATGTACAAAAGGATTCAATTTACAGCACCTCATGTATCGTCTAGTGGAGCAAGTAGAGCCCATCCTTGTGCACTTTTGAGCTTTTTAACCGGATAAATAGATGCTCTGTACATAAAACAACGATGCAGAGAACATCCGATTGTTTCCATCACATACTTACAAACAAATGTATATATTGTGCGATTACTCCGCAAAGCTTGCTCTTGCACTGCATACTGCAGCTTCCCTGTATGCTTGTCCTCCTCTCACTTTTTTTTTTTTTTTTTTACAGTAATGTCATGCATTTAGCTTTACGATTCTGTGTTACTATGTTGTGGACCCTCTTGTTCATTAATAGTATGCAAATAGAGGCAGACCGGATGAGGTTGAGACTGGGACATTGGCGATGCTCCACGCTCCACCCTGTTTTCTGGGGACAGAAGTCCCTGATTTTCCTCTCCGTAGGAACGAAGGCCACATTCCTCACAGAAATCCTCCGAGTCCTCCTGGTACTCCTCGCTCAAAAGCCCCTCGAATTCTTTGGGCTCATGGCTCTCCAAGCCTCGTCCACAAACACACACCTCAATCCCAGAGTCCCCCGTGAATCTGCGATGTCTTCCCAGAATCCTCTCTTTCTCGTCAGGCTCCTTCCTGCACTCGTTCTGCGTCTCCATGCTGGGAGGCTGCTGAGCGCTCTGTGCAGATCTGCCCCGCTCTAACTCCATCTCGCCCTTGCCGTCTTCTTTCTGGTGGTACCCATTAGAGGTGTGGATCTCCTCTAGGCTGGGTCTGGAACAGAGCGTTTCAGATGCAGGGGGCACTGGAGTGGTCTGTCCGGGTGTGCAGTGTGCATCCTGCTGGTCAGTGGTTAAAGGGCTGGTGTAGGTCGGAGGGCCGGCGTTTAAGGCACTATATGGAGGAGGGGGCGTAGCGGGCCGATGCACTACCTCCTCGTACTCTGGAAGGAGATAGTTGGGTAGGAATCCTGAAAGAAAAAGAATGGTGAGAAAATGTCAGCAGGGAGAATTTGAAGCATTCAAAATTCAGACTTTGTTTTGGTTGAAGAGCTACAGTTGTATCCATTTTAAAGGGACACTCTCATGTTGTTCCAAACTTGTAGGACTTTCATATGGAAGCCTACATCTGCCACATAAAAATACATGAAAAAAAAACATGCTTAATTATTACATAATTATTACATAAATTATGACATATTTATGAGATAAAAAGTCAAAATTATGACAAAACACTTCTTGTCAATTATGACTTTCAATTTAGATTTTATTTTCTCTATGACATAAAAAGTCATTTATGGCAAGTCAAATTGATGACAAAGTCAAAGAAAAATGAGTGTCAATTGACTTTCAATTTCAACTCTCATAATTATCACAGTATATCATAGTTTTGACTTTTGATCAATTTTAGTATAATTTGAATGTATAACTTTATTATACCCTTTTATAATAATCTTGATTTAATCTAATGACTTAGTATGTCTATTTTGACTTAGTATCTCAGTCATGACAGTGTCAGTTTTGACAGTCATACTTTTGAATTTCCATGTCACAATTATAATTTTTATATCATAATTTTAACTTTTTAATGCCATCATTTTTACATATTACTTAGTATGTCATAGTTTTGACTTTTTATTAATTTCTACTTTCTGTACTTCAACTTTTTGTCAAACGTTTTAACTTTTTATGTCAGTTTTGACTTAGCATTTCATCATTTCAACATTTGATGTCAATTTCGACTTATTTTCTTATGTGGCAGAAATGGGCTTCAGAAGACAATATTTTGAAGAGTTTTCAACTGTTTTTGACCATTCAGATTTTCTTTTAAAGTGAAATATAATTTTAACAAGACAATGTATAGCACTTTTTTTAATATACACTATTTGTAACAGACTGTGTTAATACACAAAACCCAAAATACCACGTTTATCAGCTCATTACATCAACAATCAGAGTGATTCATCAGATTTTGTGAGCTGTCTTTGATCCATGGCTGATGAAAACAGATTGCACTTTATTACAGAATGTTCAGTTTTGTGCTAATAGCTTTAAATCACGTATTAGGGGAGTCCAGGACAATTGTTACATTAAACATATGTTGTCTCTCTCTTTTTGGTTAAACATTAACATAAAAAGACAAAGACTGAATGAAGATTTCATCATGGCTGTGAGGTCAGGTGGCTGTACCAATAATTATGAAATACAAACTATGTAACATTTTTGTATTTTTAAAATCTGTCTGAAGACTGATAAATACAATTTAATAAGGATTTATATTTGAAAAAAAAAATATGGGTCACTCCAGTATGTTTCATTCAGAAGGGTTGCTATATTTATAATAACATTACAAACCCACTTAGTTACAAGGCTTTGATAATGCAACACAGTGCAAACCACCAGACCTAAATCCATCTTACAACATCACACGGCTTATGGTTGTGCTGAGATACACTGTGGTCTAGTGGTCACATTAGTACAGTACAGTAAAAATCAACAGTGGTCTCCGATCTGGAGGTCTACCATTCTCAGACTCACCCAAAATAAAATAAATTAAAAAATGACATGAAACCAAGAAAATGCAGTTAATTAACAGCCGCTGTAATCAAACCCAGTAAAGCTCTATATCTCTTCTATAGGGCAGGTAATGTATGTTCTGCTATAGGTTCATTGTGTACACAGTTTCAGGTACTGAAAGCTATTGTAAGCAAGCATTTTTATGACACTATCTCAAGATTAAATAATAAAAAGCCATAAAATTATAAAGCAAAATAACTCAACAATAACAACTGATGTAGTTATCATCATGTGACGTGCTCACGTCACAGATTAGATTAACACTATGTCTGTACAGTACCGTGTCCAGTGTACTGAAATGTGTGTTATATTTATTCATTTATCAATTTTAGTGGTTGTCATACAAATATCATTGTGTACTTGTGTTGTTTGCCTTTGTTTTGATCACAGCCAGTTCATGAATGACGAGAATTTTCACTGAGAACAGGAATACTGATATTACTCATAATATTAATCATGCAATTAGTTGCCTACACAGTCCTTAAGGTTTGATTTCAGTCTGCTTAAAGGGTTAGTTCACCCCAAAATGAAAATTCTGTCATTAATTACTCAACCTCGTGTTGTTCGAAACCCGTAAGCTGTAAAAGGACTATTGACTATAATTAGAGATGCACTGGCTGCCGATATTTATCGGCCGATTTTGTATTATTTTAAAGCCATTGGCATATCAGAAATAGCATGAAAAGGGCCGATACCGATGGTTTATTAATTAACTGCATGGAGACAACGAGTTGCATGTCTGTTGCATAATCCAACGTTTTTCTCGGAGAAAAATAATTAAATACTTGCCAAAACAAAATAAAATCTGTACAAAATATAGTTTGTCAGACGGCATAGTACGGCCATATGCAAATGTGACTCTGACGCATCCAACGAGTGAAATGCCTGCTCTCAGCTGTAAATTCACCATAGGTAAGTCGCAATGGCAATGCACCAGCGTTAGCGTTTATACAGTTAATTATACAGTTAAAGAAACATAAAAAGTTACACTGCTCAATTTAAATAGTCCGTAGTACAGTCTGTGCCGTTCATGGTGACCAGCGTCTCATTGCTGATATAGCCTATATGTGAAGGATGATGTTTTACGTCGATAATGCGAGTGAAGAGCAAAGCCTATAGTTTACATAATAAATAATAGGTTAGCATCCAGATACTTCACGAATATGGAAACATTTGGATTCGTGCAGAATGAGAGAGGTAGGCTTCAGTTTTGTTTTTAAATTAATTTGTTTTGGTTTGATGCTTATATTTAGCCTAAATACAACTTTAGAGGATTTGTTGTGGAGAGAAGGGAACTAAAATAGCCTAATTGTGTTTGTAATTTTGCTTTTATTTACCATTATTTTAGCCTACATTATTTATGAATGTAATAATAAAATGCAACGTACAGCCTACTAATTTATTTAGCCTGTTTTTTTTCCCTCTCAAAATTAACGCTTATAGGAGTAGCGTTTTTTTATCCATGCTGAAACATTTTTAAATATCTTGAAAAAAAAACACTTTAATGTTTTTAATGCGTTGACAGTTTTTTCTTTTGTTTAATACATTTGGTCTTTGGTAAATCTAGAAAGATGATGCTGTATTGGCTATGACTAAGTGAGATCAAGACTCTTTCTTTCTTTTTGAGTAAAATTATTTAATGTTTAATGTTTTTATTGCATTGACGGTTTTTTCCTTTGTTTAATACATTTGGTCTTTGGTAAATCTAGCAAAGATGATGCTGTATTGGCTATGGCTTCATGATTTTTTTTTCTTTTTGAGTAAATTAAACGCTGTACTTTATTATTATTATTATTAGTAGTAGTAGTAGTAGTAGTAGTAGTAGTAGTAGTATTATTGGCAAAGAAAAAGTTTTAAAAAATAACGTTATTAACCGGTATGTTTTCTACTCAAACCGGTTTCACAGAGGAACGCAGGAACAGAAACGTTCAAATACCGATTCTAATCGGAGTGAACCAATTTCTAATTTTTAAGCCCTGCTTTAGGCAATTTACCAATATCGGTATCGGAATCGGACAATATTTCTTTGTTAAAATAAAAAATAAAAATCCTATTGGTGCATCCCTAACTATAATACTATTTTTACTATTATAAATTAACTTAATATTAACAAAATTTGTTGCTGGTTTGGCAAGGTACTGTAATATAAGCTTGACAAACAAGGGTTAAAGATTGGAAGACAGCAGCTGTATTTGCATGCCTATTGCCTACACAGAAAATAACTGCTGGGGGACATTTTCAAGATGCTCGACATGTGAACCGACATGCCTTAAATAAGGACTTTGATCAAACCTTGCCATCCCATGGCATAAAAAAACTCAAAATAAATGTTTGATAAGAATGTGTTTCTCATGTGCTCTCACTGAGGGTAAACAAACAAAAGGCAGCAAGTACAGAGTAGGAGCTGTAGGTGTACATGGATCGTCTCATCTTTCAGCAAAACCAGGTCAAGCCCATCAAATAAATCTTTCTGAGAAAACCTTTCACACTCAATCCAAACACATACTAAGAATATATACTGAGATATACTGACATATAATGTATGTGATTCATTTAAAGTAAGTCACATTATGTAATTAATTAGGTTAAATTTTTTTTAACTGACAGCCCCAATTTCTACAAATCATTTGATTGCTACTCTGCACGAGCACTCATAAAATCAACATAATCTAGCAAATTAAATATTTCTTCTACATAGTATACAAATAAAAAAAGCATACTGACTATTTCCTAATTACTTCGAAGTGACTTTTCAAGTCAGTTTTATTTTATTATTATTTTCCAGGGTTGAAGAATGAAGAAATGCTAAATAAATAAATGTAGCAAAAAAAAAAAAAATTTCAATAAGGAGCATGACATTACTGTAGTAGAAGGGCAGTGAGGTGTAGTTGTGAACCTCTCTGTAGGCAATGAGGTTGATCTCATGCTGTCGTTGTTGTTGTTGCAGTCTGTGTTTGGTGCGACGATGATGACAAATGCAGCAGCAGCTCAGGATTAAGATGATGGCCCACACCAGCCAGAACCCTGAAGAAAAATAAACCACAAAGAAATAATACTGCACACAAACCAGCAAAATATTTAAAATATGTCTTTGTACTCTATACTGCTACTTAAAACCTGACTAATTCCTCTTAGACTAAAACCACAGCTAATGCGCAAATGGTCACACCCTCTGCATAAGGATTTGTGAGTCTCGTCATTTTTACTCCACACTTTGCAGAAGGTCAAACATCTTAAGCTTTTCTCCTCATTTCGGCATACATTTTGTTTAGTTCTTCTGAGCCTCTTAAAGGGATAGTTCACCCAAAAGTGAAAATTTTATGCTTATCTGCTTACCCCCAGGGCATCCAAGATGTAGGTGACTTTGTTTCTTCAGTAGAACACAAACGAAGATTTTTAACTCAAACCGTTGCAGTCTGTCAGTCATATAATGGAGGTGAATGGGAATCTCGGCTTTGAGAGTCAAAAAAACATGCACAGACAAAACCAAATTAAACCTTGCGGCTCGTCACGATACATTGATGTGTAAAGACACGAAACGATCGGTCTGTGCAAGAAAATGAACAGTATTTATATCGTTTTTTACCTCTGATTCACTGCAATGTCCGAACTGTCCTGAGCGCTTTCTCAACAGCCGGCGCGTGACGCATCTTCTACTACTTCTTGCTTTACGGCGGATCGCAGACTTATAAGTGCATTACCGCCACCTATCTCTCAAATGGACCATTGACACTCTATCTACAATCTCAATTAGGTCAATGGTCCATTTGAGAGATAGGTGGCGGTAATGCACTTATAAGTCTGCCAACCGCCGTAAAGCAAGAAGAAGACGACGCATCATGCGCCGACTGAAGAAGAAGACGCGAACGCACTCAGGACAGTTCGGGCATTGCAGTAAATCAGAGGTAAAAAACAATATAAATACTGTTCGGTTTCTTGCACAGACCGATCGTTTTGTGTCTTTACACATCAATGTAAATTTTTGGGTGAACTACCCCTTTAAGGCTTGGTCTCATTTATTCAATAAGCACAATCAGGAAATGCACCTGATGTTGAAGAAATGTCGCATCTGATTCAAGTTGATTGAATCATCATTCCTGTAATAAGCAGTTCCTCCTTTGCCATTCTAGGGTAAATGTGACCGTCACCGAGCCTTTATGAATTCTTAGCAAACATTGTAACCCAATAACAAACACAATGATGTACTTACACCAGAGTTCATAGTAGTAGCTGCAGCACTGGGACTCTCCACAACAGTGTCCCGTCTCACACACATAGCTTTTATTATTCACACCCTCACAGTGAAGAACCTGCTGGGGAACAAAAAAAAAAACAGGATACAAGATACATTTCTTGTGGATTCAGTGTTTATCTCTAGAACAGCAAATCGGAAATGAAAAGTTCACCCTAAAATTAATATTTGTTGAAAATGTACTCACCCTCAGGCCATTCAAGATGTAGATTAATTTGTTTCTTCATGGGAACAGATTTAAAGAAATTTAGCATTATATGACTTACTCATCGTTGGATCCTCTGCAGTGAATGGGTGCCGTCAGAATGAGAGTCCAGAAAACAGCTGATAAAAACATCACAGTAATCCACAAGTAAACGTCTCGACTCCAGTCCATCAATTAACATCTTGAGAAGTGAAAAGCTGCGTTTGAGACGTATTGAGACGTATTGAGACATCTTTAACTCAAACCAATACTTCCCACTAAAATACAAGTTCTCTATAATATTGTTTTCTCACTGCAGTGGATCCATTGGTGAGCAAGTGATGTAAAGCTAAATTTCTCCAAATCTGTTCCAATGAAGAAACAAACTCTTTAGCCATCTTGGATGGCCTGAGGGAAAGTAAATTATCAGCACATTTTCATTTTTGGGTTAACTATTCCCTATTCACTCTAAAACACAATGCCATATGGGTGCAATTTGTGTTCATATCTTTGTGAAACAAAGCAACAAATCTGTCAGGTAAAACCCTGAATCAAACAAACATTTTATCAGAAAAGTGGGTCAATGACAAATAAGAAGGTCCAGAAATTAACAAAAATTAAACAAAACCTGATGTATCAGAACATTTTTATACCATTCTCGAAAAATGGCATGTGGAGTCAATTTCAAAACATATTTTCCTTACACCTTAAATACATTGTTTTAAAAAAAAAAAGGGTTTTAAATATATTATTCAATATACAAAAACATTTTACAAATATCTTTGCAACGCATGATGTTTACAACCTGAAATAACCTTGTTAGATCTGGGGATAAAAGCGTCATGTCGCTGAACAAAGCACTGGTTTCAAAATCCAAAAAGACTTGTCATGTCAAATCCAAACATAAAAGAACAAAAACTGCCTGAACATTTCATATTTGATAGAGTCACATTGTCAATGTTGTGCACAGCAAAATCTAACAATTACCTAACCTGTTGAATCAGCTTTCTTTCTCTTTCTAAAGTAAATCCAGTTACACATTAAGCAAACCCAGTTGCCATCAAGAATATAAAGACAACAGCTAGATCTGTACAAAACAAGCAGAAACCTTCAAAAGGCATGTTTGTTTCATTTCATGAATCAGTTAATGATTAAATAAGAAAGCTTGGTGATCCAGTTCTCTACCATTCTTGTCTCCTGCTGCAGTATAGACATGATACTCCACAGTCGAGTCGTTCAGCAGCCTTGTGAAAGTCCTTTCAGCCCAAGAGTCATGATACACAGGAGAGGAACAGGGGTACACACACACACACTTCACTCAAGGGCCAGGGATTGGTCTACGGAAAATGGCATGCAGCAGAGGAGTGTAAGGAGGGCTGCATTATAATGAGATGCTCCCTCAATACGGGAGTAGACAGCTCAAAATAACATGAAGAGGTAACAAAAAAGACATCGCCCAGTGTCATACACTGTTTTGTCCTGTCTCTGTTAGATCCTGTAACATACCTAAACTTCCTTTGCTTTTTTTGCTCTTTAGTCTGCCTAAAAATGTAAGGAAAATAAATGTAAAGGGCTGCTATACTGTAAATAAGAAGGATGGACTAAGAAACAAAACAAACATTTTCGTTACTTGAAATAAATGTTCACAGAAACAATCAAATATAAAACAATAATAAATTATAAAAAACTTATTTCATCTAGGTTCCAAGGCAACATTTCCCATTTTCATTTAGTTTAAGTTTATTTACTAAAATAACTAAACTAAAACTTAAATAAAAATTAATACAAAATAATAAAATCTTATATTATTTTACAAAGACTACATTAAAATCACTCATGTTACATTTAAAAAAAAATAATAATAAAACATTATATGGAGCGGAAAACAATTTTTGTATCTTTTTTGTGGGTGTTCGTTTTCTCTATATCACTCATGGTGGGTTCAGAGAAATGTCCACTCAGTAGACAAGCAAGAGAGTATTTTGACAGAAAATAAAATGGAAAGTAAACAAGCTTATACTACTAATTATGAAGGACAATATATGATAATCTTGCTATGTCAATACCCTAACAAATAGAAAAGTGTACAGTTAAATAATGTGCCGATATACATTAAGCTTTTCTTGCGATTTTGCCAATTTTGTGAAAGGTACTGTTCATACACAAGAAGTGCATTGAAACCTGGACACACAAAACCTGTTGCTGTGGTAACAAACAACAATATCTTGCACAATACGTGCTTGCTGACTTGCCTGACTAACATTTATTTGAGGAATTATGTTTATAATAGTCTATTGAGTTTGTACTTCCTGGTCCTGCACTTCCTATTGATTTAGCTGATTTTAATAAATGTCAATATTGGCTACGCTGATTAAAGCAACACTTGAGTTTAATGTACTATATA